CACACACACACACACACACACGAGGCTGGGGGATGGATCAGTGATTAAGACCATGTGCTGCTCTCACAAAGAACCTGGGTTCAGGTCTCCATAGTGAGTTTCAGGACAGTCAAGGTCACATGGTGAGACCCTGTCTCAAAAAAAAAAAAAAAAAGCCAGAAGGTGAATAAATAAGCCTTTTTAAAAATAAAATTAAGGGCTGGAGAGATGGCTCAGCCGTTAAAGGCTAGGCTCACAACCAAAAATATAAGAGTTCGGTTCCCAGCACCCACGGCTGTCTCTCCAGCCACATAAAAAAAAAAAATAAAATAAAAAAATAAAAAGTGAGGCTGAGGCTGGAGAGATGACTCAGGGGTTAAGAGCACTGACTGTTCTTCCAGAGTTCCTGAGTTCAATTCCCAGCAACCACATGGTGGCTCACAACCATCCCTAATGATACCCTCTTCTGGCCTGCAGGGACACATGCAGGCAGAACACTGTACACATATAAATAAATAAAAATAATAAATTTTTAAAAATCTACCTTAAAAAAAGAATGAGAACAAAAGATATTAAAAAAAAAAAAAAAGCAGGACTGGAGAGACGGCTCAGTGGTCAAGGGCACCAGCTGCCCTTGCAGAGGACCCAGGTTCTATTTCCGGAACCCAACATGGCAGCTCACAGCTGTCTTTAACTCCAGCTCCAGGGCATTTTATGCCCTCTTCTGGCTTCTGTGGACACCCACTCACAGGTGCATAAGTAAATAATAAATATTTTTTATTAAAATAAACACTGTCAAGGTCTAAGAAGGTGGCTCTTGCCAGCATATTTGAGCCCTTAGTTCCGTTGCACAGAGACACCCCCCCCCAGCACACCCTCTGCTGGCAAACGAGATCACAGGGCATCTTAGACTAAATGGAGTGTCCTGAGGCACCTCCGGGGCAGCAGAATAAGGATTCTAGTTCCTTCCGGACCCAGGACTCCAGGAGCAGCACTGGGGCTCTTAGTGGTCTGTGCTCTGCTTCTTCCAGCCTCAGCCCTGAAAAACAGGCCCACAAGCAAATGCAGAGAGCTGTCTGTCTCCCCCATGACTGCAGCCCCCAGAGAAGCCCTCCTTGAGTCGGAGAGGCCGGGGCAGGCATGTGCCTGGGGCTGGTTTGGGGGCCCTGTTTAACTCTTCCTTTTGATTTTAGGTCACTGCACTGGGATGCTGCCCCTTCCACTAGGCTACCCACCCACCCACACCAGTGTAGCCCACGTAGGTGGCAAAGGAGGCAGATGCAGAGGACTCCCGGGTGGAGAGGCCACAGCCTAGAACCTGCAGCACCCCAGCAGAGTCTCCCCTGAGGGCGGGGGTGCACAAGTGTCTCTGAATGTGTCAGACCGTTTACTTGTCCCAGAGGAGGCCTCAGCCTCATCATCCCGGTCCCACTGTGTGCTTGGGGAGCCCTTGTCATGGTGACCAACCCAGGACCTCCACTAACCCTCTCTTCTCCTTTCAGCGGCCGCATTCACTATAAGGACATGTACAGTTTATTGCGAGTAATATCGCCCCCTCTCGGCTTAGGCAAGAAATGTCCTCATAGGGTTGCTTGCAAGGTTTGATTTCCACTAAAACCTGCTAGCATCGATTGAATGAGTGTGGCTTGGGGTCTTCCATATATATATTTCATATATATATATTTCTCAAAAACAGAGCCATCTCTCTCTTGCATTACACTAGCCAATATTAGCCTCCAGAATGCGGCCATGCAGACTCCACGAAGCATGGGACATACCTCTGTTCCCTCCGAACATCTGTGCTTGCTCTTAGCTGAAGCTGCCCATCCCGTGGTCTCAACGACACCCCCAAATCAGACGCATCCCTTGGGGGAGTTGTAATTTTGCATTCCCTACCCCCACTCTCTCCTCCACCACTCCCTGCCTCCCGAAGCCTCCAGCCCCACTGCCCACCCCCATGCCCTGCCCTAGCTCCTCTTCCTCACCCAGGCCCCCTCAGAGACCAGCCTCAGCCAAGCCAGAGTGCTCGGCCCCTCGAACGAACGGTAAAGCCCTCCAGCTCCGCACCACCTGAGCCAGCCTGGAGCCCAAGTGGAGTCTGACTGTTTCTCTTTTCTCTCTCTCTCTGCCTGCTTGTAAGCAGTGAAATAATCATTTTTAATTACCTTTTCTTCCATTTTTCTCCTCTTTTCCATTTATTTGAAATATCTATTTTATCGTTCTCTGCCTCTTTCTCTATTTTTTCGGCTCGTGTGGTTTTTTTGGTTTTTGGTTTTTTTTCTTCTTCTTTTTTTCTTTTTCTGTTTCTTCTCCACCTCTCCCCCCACCCTTTTGGTTCTCTGCCCCACCCACCCCCGTCCTGTTTTTTTGTTTTTGGTGCTGCCAGGGGTCGCATGCCTTACCCGGACATGTATCAGATGCTGAGACACATGTCCCCACCCCTGGGTCTGGGGAAGAAGTGCCCGGCCAGAGTGGCTTACAAGGTAGTCTATCTTTGCCAACACCGATGTCCCAGAGCTGGGGACTTTTCGGTGGTGACCACAACACCCAGCGAGTCTTCTGCCGACATCCTCTTCTTTTTTCTTTTTTTCTTTTCTCGAGTAACTGAGTCATGAGCATCCCTCGACTCTCAGCAGCGCACTGTGTCCTTTCTGATGAGTGTCTAAGTGTTTTGAGACTCCATTATGGCCAACAAGCCACGGGGAGGGGGAGGGAGCGCTCCAGTCCCCTAGCATCCATATGACCCACCCTGGGGAGCCAAATTGTACAAAGTCTCTACCCATCCAGAAACACATAGCCCCAGGCCCAGGGCAGACTGTTTCGTGCCTTGAGCCTTTAAACCCTGGCCTCTCCACACACATCTGAAGCTGACCTCTGACTTAGGGCCCGGGAGATCTGACACCTCCCACAGCTGAGTCCCCCCATCCTCCCCTTGCCCTGGAGATGTCTCCCCAGCGCCTGAACCATGCCACCCATCTACCCGAGACGCCCCACATGCCTCTCCACTCCATTGTTTCAGAGCAAGCAGGAGGGTTGCCGCTGCCCCACCCCGATCCGATCGTGGTGCACCAATCAGGCCTTGCACGCTGCCTTGGAGGGATCTGGGGCGGGGGGTGTATGCCAGCTGAGGGAGCGAGGAGACTGCTGCTCCTCTAAACTTCTGTCCTGGAATCTCCCCCGGCCCTGGAGGACATCTGCTCCCTCAGTTCATCCTCAAGGTGGCCAGGGATGACCTTCAAACCCCATGCCCCAGAAGTGACTCCACATCCTGACCTTCCCAGCCATCTTGGTTCCTCTCCTTTCAGTACTGTTCCAAGCCTGTGTGGCTGCTCCTCGTCCCTCTCTTCCCACAGGCATCCTCCTGTCCCTCCCCAGCCTGATGTCTGTATAAAGCTCCCTAAGGCACCTTTGTGCACATTTAAAATAGCATATTTTCTACAGAACACTTTGTCTGCTGGGAAACTGTGTGACGGAGAAGACACTTTCCCACTATACAGCAAAAGCTGTCGTCACATTTAACCCAGTACAGTGCACACCTGCCCAGCTGTACACAGCGCCTCATTTATCTCTATCTACTGCCTCCCTCCCTGCCGGACCCCAGCATCCCACTTCCTACTCTGTTCTTGGTTTACTGTCTCCCTACTGTCTGTGAATCCCCTGGTGAGACCCAGATTTGCCCTTAACACCCTCTCAAGCCCATGGCACATCAAAGCCCACCATCACCCCTGCCCAAGCCACGGACTGCGGAGCAGGCAGAACCGCTACCTGGAACACAGAATTCCCTCCCTGGGCCTCAGGAATGCCCCTTGTCCCTTCTCCCCGCTACTGCACAGACAGCCATGATCTGGCAAGCCCCGAAAGTCACTTCCCACGGAGCTATGAATGAGTCTCGAGATTCCGTCTGCATGCGCCCGTTTGTGCCGCTCTGTGTAGGCCTCGCTGCATGTCCACAAGGGGCCTGCGTGGGGAGGTGCCTGCCGCTTCTGAGGATGGAATGCTGCGGCTGGGTGCCCATCATCTGCCCATCCTGGGCCGAGCAGGGGGTGGGGGCGGGGAGCGGCGGCTGTGGCCGTGGATCCCACCGCGAGGCTGCTGCACGCACATGCTGCTGACATCCGCCTTCTGCTCTTTCTCTTTGGGTGCACGTGAAAGGGAGCCTTTGAGAAGAACTCTGGTGCAGGGCTAGAATCTGGGGCGACAGCTCTGGGCCCCTAGACCTCAGGTCCCTCCCGAAGGTGGAATTTAAAACAGAAAAAACCGCTTGGGCTGGGAGTGGTGGCAGGCCCTGGCATCCCAGCCGCTCAGGAAGCCAAGGCAGGAGGATTGCCATGAGTTCCGAGGACAGCCTGTGCTATCAGCAAGATCTTGTCTTCAAAAAAAAAAGGGGGGGTGGGGAGGAGCGAGGTGGAGTCCGCAGTGTGGAAATCCCTGAATTCCTTCGTTGCTCCATGCTGGGCAGAGCGGGTGCGGGAATGAGAAATTCTGTGCTGGTGTAGGTGACCACAGGGGAGTTGCCCCAGCTTTAGAGTTCTTCCTGGGGCTCCCTGGAGGGTCGGGTGAATTTGGCTTACAAGATGCCGGTAGGGCCCAAGAATGACTGCCCTCCCCTGGGGTTTTCTGTAGAGACTCCTGCGGATGGACCTGCCTGTAGCGGATGACAACACAGTGCACTTCAACTCCACCCTCATGGCTCTGATCCGAACAGCCCTGGACATCAAGATTGCCAAGGGTAAGGCGATCTTGGGGGCCTGGAAGCGGGGGCAGCAGAGATTCCCACTCCTGCTGGGTTGTCAGAGGCACCACCGTCCTTCTCTTCATGCCTGGGCCTGTGTGAACCCTCCAACCAAGGGGCTGCAGCCCTTACAGGGGAGAGCCCCGCGCCCAGTCTAGTCTTTGAAGTAGGTAGCACAATGAGTCGTGTGGACTCAGGGAAAGGAACCCTGGCCTGAGACCAGCCTGCGTGCAAAAGCCCTGGGAAGTAGGAACAAACAGGTGCAGCAGGAGTAGGAACCTCACGGGGTCCTGCTGAGCTGACTTGGCCTTTGAGTAAGGAGACACCCCCAGGATCAGAGAGAAGAGGTAGGATCTGACCCAGATCACATCGGAGTGATGTCTGGAGTCTACGGAGACAACCCAGTGGGAAGAGGTAGGTTGAGGGCCTGTGTTAATCTGACTGTCGAGAACCAGCGGCCGGGCGGGGCTTATAAAGAAGAGGGAGGCAGGCTTGGCCAGGTGGCTCCGGAAGTAAAAACTGACCTGAATTCAGTTGCTAAGACTTGTTTCCTCCCTTGCATATGTGCGCTGTGCCATACACAACCTGCCCCTACCCTGCGCGCGCGTGCACGCGCACACACACACACACACACACACACACACACACACACACGAATAAAAGTAAGTCTAAGACATCTCTGAGAGTCCTGATGGCTCTCAAGAGACCCTATCATCAAAGTTTCAGCCCAGAGAGCGGTAACATCAGAGCCTCCTCTCAAGCTCTGCAACGTTTTCCTTTGAAACAGAGTTTTGTCTATTGGGAGATTGAAAAGAGAGTGGAGAGAGTGAGAAGGGAGGGGACAGTGTGGGCAGCCGAGGAAAGTTAGGACGCCTCGGGCTCCATCTTCGGTGTACCCACAACCTCTAGCCCCTTTTATTTCCTTTTTTTTTTTTTTTTTTTTTTTGGTTTTTCGAGACAGGGTTTCTCTGCGTAGCTTTGCGCCTTTCCTGGAACTCACTTAGTAGCCCAGGCTGGCCTCGAACTCACAGAGATCCGCCTGCCTCTGCCTCCCGAGTGCTGGGATTAAAGGTGTGCGCCACCACCGCCCGGCGCCCCTTTTATTTCTTATTATCTGATATCTCTCCCTCTTTTTTATTTTGATTTTCCGAGACAGGGTCTCACTATGTGGCCCTGGCTGTCCTGGAACTCACTCTGTAGACCAGGCTGGACCAGAACTTAGAGATCCACCTGCCTCTGCCTCCCGAGAGCTGGGAGTGGCGGTTGGTTCCCTGTCTTTTTTAGATGTTGGTATGATTTCCAGTACTCTGTCAGTATCTTCTAAAGTAGCAGCTTCATCATTCCTTCTGTTTGATGCTCTCAGTCTCCAGCTCAGCAGGCTGCCCAGTTCTCAGCTCGGCTCTCTGCCTGGTACATTTAGTTTAGTGCTGGCAAAAAAAAATTCAGGGCTACGAACCAAACATGCAGCACACACCTTTGATCCCTGCAGGGGTATCTCTGAGTTCAAGGACAGCCGGGGCACACAGAGAACTCTGTCTCAAAAAAAAAAAAAAGAAGAAGAAGAAGAAGAAGAATTTTAGGGTTACGAAAGTTCTCATTTTCCCAAATACTTGCTAGCTGGATTAGCAAAATTAATAAAACCAGCTAGGGCACTGAGTGATCATTTGTTCCAAATGGTTCCTTCTCCTTTGAATTTGTTCCACATTTTAGTATCTTTGGTTATTTGGTTTTGATTCAGGGATTCACGTAGTCTGAGATGACCTTGAACTTGCTCTGTAGCTGAGGATGACCTTGGCCTTCTGGTCCCTTGCCTCCACTTACCACATGCTGGGATCACAGCTGTGCACCACCACATCTGGTTTATGTAGTACTGGAGACAAATGGACCAGGACTTTGTGCACACTAGGCAGGCACACTAGCAACTGAACATCCCCTTTCCTCTCTTTTTATTTTTGTTTTTTGGGTTTTTGTTTTGTTTTGTTTTGTTTTTGTTTTTTTTGTTTTTAGAGACAGGGTTTCTCCGTGTAGTTTTGGTGCCTGTCCTGGATCTCACTCTATAAACCAGGCTTGCCTCAAACTCACAGAGATCCGCCTGGCTCTGCCTCCCTCCCGAGTGCTGGGATTAAAGGCATGCGCCACCACTGCCCGACTCCTCTCTTTTCTTAATGATTTATTTTATTTTGAAAACATCTTAAAAAGATTTACTTGTTTTTATTTTATGTGTATGAATCTCTGCTAGAATATAGGCCTATGTACCACATGTGTGCCTGGTGTCCAAGGAGGGCCAAAAGCAGAAGTCAGATGCCCAGGACCTAGAGTTACAGGCAGTTGTGAGTTGCCTAGTGTAGGTGCTGAGAACTGAAAGCTGGTCTTTTGCAGGAAAACTAAGTGTTGTGTGATGTTTTGATCACATTCTGACTCTCCCAAGACTGTCAATAAAATTTACTTTGAATCAGAGAGCAGAGCTAGCTATTAACTGACCAAAATGAACCATAGAGATTTTGGAGGACTTAGGACAGATAGACAGGAAGTAGTAGGGTGGGGCTTCAAGAAGGTCTCAGCCTGTTTGGATAGAGGGATGAGAGCAAAAGGAGGTCACTGGTTGCTTCTCTGATCACTCAAGTTCTTACCCTCATAGGTTATTCCCAAGTTTTTATTGGTAAAGAATTATTAGATAAACACATGTTCTGGCACCCAACATGGGGCACCACTTGTTGACAGACTTTTCTGTTCTTCCTGCCAGCTCCCAAATCACGACACAGAGACTTATTGTTAATTATGAAAGCTCAGCCAATAGCTTAGGCTTGTTTCTAACTAGCTCATAACTTAAATTAACCCTTTTTTATTAATTTACGTGCTGCCATGTGGCTCACGTGCATCAAGTGAGTGTGATAACCACTGGGCCATCTCTCCAGCTCTCTCCCCATTTTATTTCTTATGAAATTTCCAACATTTTATACTAACTGGTAGAATTTTTTTCTTTTCATTGATTTTGTTTGTTTGTTTTTCGAGACAGGGTTTCTCTGGGTAGCCCTGGCTGTCCTGGAACTCACTTCGTAGACCAGGCTGGCCTTGAACTCACAGAGATCTGCCTGCCTCTGCCTCCTGAGTGCTGGGATTTCTTTTCTTTTCTTTTCTTTTTTTTTTTTCTTTTTCCTCTTTCTTTCTTTGTTTAACAGGCTCTTACTCTGCAGCCCTGGCTGGCCTGGAGCTTGTTAGTGTATACCAACCTAGCTTAAAGTCATGGAGATCCAATTGCCTCTGCTTCTTGAGTGCTAGCATTAAAGACATGGCTACCATGTCCAGCTAGATTTATTTTGAATCAGGTTTTTGTTGTTTGTTTGGTTGGTTGGTTGGTTGGTTGGTTGGTTGGTTGTGATTAGGTCTCTATGTAGCTCTGGCTATCTTGGAACTTACTATGTCTGTGAGACCACAGGCTGGACTCAAGTCACAGAGATATGCCTGCCTCACTCAGCCCCTGAGTACTGGGATTAAAGGTGTGGCCACCATGCCCTGCTGAGAGTGCTGTCCTTTGATGGGAGTAGTGTCCTTTAGTCTGTGTCTAAGGCTAGCTCTCCCACTATGCCTTAAATTCATCCTGCATGCCGACAGTCACATGAAGGCACGGCACTGGTGATCACCTCCGAGGTGTACTCATGACCAGCACTGTAAGGTTCCTTCCAAGCCAGGAATGCCTGTGTTGTCTTGGGCTCTCCCATGATGCCACTGCCCATTGTGGGAAGTTCTGCCACACTTCCACCCTGCAGGACTTGGGGAACCACGGCTATCCTCTGTGGCATTGGCACAATCAGGCTCTCAGATGCTGTCTAAACTGAAAGGCCATGAGAAAAGGGGGCAGGGCTGGTGAAGGCTCTGACCTTGTGGTGCAGATACTCGGGAAACTCCTTGGACACAGTGGGTGGTGGCCTTGTTGCTGCCCCTGTTGTTGTGGAAACGACCCAGCAGAAGGAACTTGGGAGAGAAGGGTTTTTTTCTTGTTCACAGTTTCAGAGGGATGCAGTTCAGCATGGCAGGGAGACATGGCCTAGGAGCAGGAGACTGGCTGATCACATGTGTCCACACCCAGGAAGCTGAGGAGTACAGGGACTCACCCTCAGCAGCTCACCTTCTCTAAGAGGTCAACTCGGAAAAGGTCCCACAACCCTCCCAAACAGCCCTACCAGTTGGTGATGAAGTATCCAGACACATGGGGGATGTTTCATATTCACACCACAGCTGAGAACATCCAACAACCCCATCATAAAACCAGTCGATGGGACAGGGGGTGGGGGCGCACACCTTTAATCCCAGCACTCGGGAGGCAGAGGCAGGTGGATCTCTGTGAATTCGAGTCCAACCTGGTCTACAGAGTGAGTTAGTTCCAGGACAACCAGGGCTGTTACACGGAGAAACCTTGTCTGGGGAGGTGGGGGGGGAACCAATGAAGGGAGCTGGAGAGATGATCAGCCTTAGGAGCACTGGCTCTCCTAGAGATCAGGTTTCAGTTCCCAGCACTCACACAGTAACTCCTAACTGTCTGTGACCCCAGTCGCCAGGGAATGCAGTGCCCTCTCTGGCCACACGTGGTATACAGGCGTACCTGGAGGCAAAATATCCACACACACAAAACAAAATCTAGACAGACAGAAGAGAATGGATGGCAGGCCCTGCCTGGTGATCACAAGGACCTCAGATCACACAGAGGTGAGTGTTGGGCCGCTGATCCGCCGCATTCACACTCTCCACAGTCTTGTCACTGTATAACTCTTTGGTAGAAGAAGAGCAGCATTTCCAAGAAACTCCTGTTCACAGGGGACACACTACATCCTAACCACACCATCGCAGGGCCAAGCGAAGACAGGCGGGCCACTTAGACTGGGGGGCGTGGAGTGTTCACTCTGAATGCCTGAGAACTGAGCTGACAGGGTGCCTCCCAGGTGGACGTGGGTTGTGAGGGAGAGAGAATCCCGAAACACCCTCAGACTTGAGGCCTGAGC